ATTTTCATTGAACTGTTCAGTTAATTATGGAAATAATATGTAAAACAAAAAGGTTCAATCCTGCTCATTTATATATATATACACTATTAAGAGGCAACTGCAGATTTACTGGAATTCATAAAAAAGGTTCTTCATACTTTAAAGAATGTATCATGAAATTCAATTACATTAAAAACAAGCCACATTGACAAAAAGCATTGTGTAATCAACATCATCTCAGGTTTTTAAGGGAAGTCCAAACTCATGCTAATACTCGTGGAGAGACCCTTGAAATCACCAAACAGAGGCTTGTGAAGGCGAATAACCTTGACTGGGGTGATGGAGAAGACAGTTTGAATTACACCATGTAGCCACGGCAGCACTCTGGGCCGTGCTCAGCACTTTGCCGTGATCAACCTGTCACCTACACCTCCTTTCCTAAGAAAAATGGCTCCCTTCCTCTTACTGCCTAGAAAATGTATTACTTCAATACAGATGCATTTTATGCAGTCCATGCTATGCACTGAGCAATGCTCGAATTAAAAGTTAGGGCCGATATAGGTTGGCCTTGGTGAGAAAGGTTGCACACTCTTATATTAAAACGTAGATTTTGGACAAATATGAATGTAAATTGCATTCAGTGCACTATGCCATTGGCATGAACAAGGCTGTATTGTGCCAGATTGTAAACGTCTAAACTGATAGATTACAGTATCTCACTGAAACCTGTGAAAAGAATGAACTAAGCCTGGCCTTCAGGATTCTTCTTAACAAATGAAACTACACAGAAAAAACCCATGTACTGTGCTGAATTATAGTGTTTATTTGTGTTCAGCTGGACTTACCTAAGCAATTTTGGGAGGTCAAGGAAGAGTTTCTGCATAATTCAGTCACTGATGAAAACAAAGTCCTTCAGAGTAGTTTGATGTGAAATGGTTCACTGAAGAGAAATTTAACCGTCCCAGATTTCTTCGCAATGGTGGTGGTAGGAACCAGGGGTCGTGATGTCTACCACACAAATATAGCCATTTTTTTTACTATCCAAAACAGCCAGTGAGTTTGCACGTCTTCTGAGGTTTTATGTATGTGTTGTTAACGATGGTAAAATAGTGTTAAATCTGAAAAGTGTTTTTTAAAGGGACTATTTTGCCTTACCACACCTTGCTTGCTACTTCTCTGCTATGAGTGGAAAAACATTTTAGGCCCAAAAGCTTCTCTTAAAACTATGGTAAAACAACATCTCAGGAATCAGGCAGCGTAAGCGTGATGTAGCTTTTGGAAGCATTAAACACTTCAGACGTGTGGTTCCTAACATCACTACTATGAATAGTTCTGTGGCTGTGAGCATTTCACATCGAACCACTCTGAATGACTTCATTTACATTTTAATTACTGAATTATTCAAGGATTGATTAGTATTTAGCCACTTCCTACACAGTACTATCCCTAGTGCTGAATTATGGGGACATTTCTGCCAATTTCCACCAATTTCTGCATAATTAAATGGTTAAGATACATAAGCAAAGTCATTCAGAGTGGTTTGATGTGAAATGCTCCATATAGAGAAACAAGGGAATTTTTTTCTAGTGCTCTACTTCACTTTCATTTGCTACTGCGGTGCCAGCTTTCTGCTGGGACAGAAATAAGTTTCTCTTGGTTCCTGGTGGTTTTGTAATAATGTCTAACAGTTAGTAATGGCATTTTGTGGGTTCCTGATGGGTTATCACAACACAAAGGGTCCTACCAGGTGACCTGTGACTGATTCTAGACACATCTGATGGTTTTGTAATGTGAACTAAAGGTGTTCTTCAGGAAATTGTGATCTCTAATGGTAGCCATTAAGCCAGTTCCCATTAGCAAAACCATCAGGTATTCATCCTGTTTCTAATCACATTTTTTCAGCAGGATAATCCATAACAATAATGCTGTGTTGGCTATTATGATGAAATTTGCTCTGCCAATATTAAAACCTTTAATTTTTATGCTATTTTATGTTGTATTCCATGCAGGCCCATTGTGTATGTCTTGGCCAACCCTAGAGGCCATGTTATTCCCTCTGTCCTCCATGATTCAGACTGCCCGAGGTAACCTGGGGACACAATGAAGTGCCAGACAATATTGTGATATTGCGTCCTGAATATCTGAGTAAACACGTTTAATATTCAAAAAGCTGCTCTACCTGGCCGAGAGTCTGAGGCACCATCATCCATCACAGAGACTGACTGCTAGCAGCGAAAACACAGCCTATCATATGTTACTGCTTAGTATTTAAGCTAATGTTTACTCATTTTCAGACTGACACACTTTTCTCACAAATGGAGGTCATGCACCATGTGCTAAATAAGCTGGCTTTACATTACTGACACATTTAGGCACGGTGAATCATTCCGTAGGGTTTATCGTGCTTTTGAAAAGCATCCGACGAGCTCAGAGGAAGAACAGTTTTAATCCGCTCTGTGACAGGACTGGAGTAGAGACAGCGCACAGCTTACAGTGACGAAGCAAAAGCCCTCAAAACTGAAGACGAACTGAGAGAAATAACAAGACACGTTCTCGTTTTCATATGTCGGCCTATTGTGCTGTGCTGCACAGGAGATTTCACTGTATTTAACACCGATGAAGGCCTGTTTTTAAGTTGCTAACTGCTAATATAGCACTCATAGCAAATTGCTTCACTGCAGCAGTACATTCCAGAGAGCTAAAAAATAAGTCTTCTTCAACTAAGAAGTGCTGTTTCTTACAGAGCCCCTAAGGTGACATGGTGGTTATTTATTAAGAAATCAATATATTGAGGCCACTAGTTAATATATTGAAGCCACAAATTACCAGAGGTGTGGACTAGAATCATACGACTTGGACTCAAATCACTGAGTTGCAAGGGGTAGTGGTTAAAATCTTCTATGACAATCCTCACATAAAATAAAGAACATTACTTCATTAACAGACGGCAAGTAGTGCTCTGTAGGCAATCCTGCCAGTCCGCAGTGATAGCAGAGGAGGGTAAAGGTCAGCAAACTTGCTGCTGGTCTTTAGTTAAATTTTGGGCATCATCTGCCTTTAAAACGTGGGGGGGGAAGCGACAGTTAGTTATTATCACCCACCCCTAATTCTTCAGTGATATGAAGCTTAAGTCAGATGTTCATCAGTTTTTTTTCAAATTTTCCCGTTCCACCTTAAATGGTGCAGCAGTTACATTCTGGTGCCTCAGGGAAATTTGTCTAGCTAGATACCGAGACATCAGCATACTACTAGCAATTTTTATGCTTGTTATGAAGAAAAAAGGCCATAATATATTGAAATGTCATTAAACTGACAAGGTTCCGTAATTGTTAAAAGTGAAAATACTCACATTTGTGAGTTTCTTTGGTCGCTCGCACAGCTTACTTCACCCTACCCCTCTATCTCAACAAAAATCGGGACACCCTACCCCTACGTGTGAACGCAAAAAACGGAGGGGGTAAGGACAAAGTGGTGGGGCATGGGGTGAAATGGGATTGGGTCTTAGCCTACTGAAGAAACTCACCAGGCGAGACCATTTTCCTTATGGTAACAAAGCAAAGTAAACAGAGCTCTCTCTATCTGACCGATTTTAACAGCTTCTGCAGGTGAAACAAGCGCAGCATTCACCATTAGGCTGAATTTGACTTGTTATTAACAAGCTTCATTTTCTAATTTGCCATTCCACCTTAAATGGTGCAGCAGTCAGGTGGAAAATTCAAAGAGGCCAACTTCAGTTTCGTGTTTCACCATCTTTTGTTGTCTTTTCTGTGAACTTCAGCTTGGTCATTTGGGTTTCTCTTGTCATCTGAATTTGATTACAATTAGGGGTTCTTTATAGTTTGCTGAGACAGTTTTAGTGCTAAGCTCATTTTTATTTGAATCCTGTGCTCCCAGTGCTCCCAAAAATCATATATATTTTTAAATATAATTTTTTAATTAGGTTTAATATTACTTTGAAAATTGTTTCACGTGTAGTTGCACTACTCTTTATGTATACCACCATCTCTGTCATGGTTATCTGTGTACCATGGATTTTGTATTTTATTTGGAAGGGTTAAAAAAAAATAAATACAGCCACACACTGCTAACATGCTGTCATTAAAAGGCTATAGTACTGTTGCCATCATTTCTGGTATTCAGTGTTGAAATGGCCTTGTTACTTGCAACTTAGTGACTTGTTCCCACCTCTGCGAATTACTATACTGAGGCCACAAATGAATATATTGAGGCTATAAATTGCTGTACTGAGGCCACAAATTACTATATGGCCACTATGGTCAATATATTAATTTATAATCTTAATATATGAATTTGTGGTCTCAATATACAACCCCATTTCCAGAGAATAATTTACATTCTGCACAGCGTCCCAACTTTTTGGAAATGGGGTTGTATTAATTTGTTGCCTTAATATAGTAATGCATGGTCTCATTATATTAATTTGTGGCCTTAATATAATTTGTGGCCTCAGTATATTAATTTGTAGCCACACCTTATTATAAAATAATCACCATGTCACCTTATGGGCTCTGTAGTTTCTAAACTCATTTTAATCTTGACTCCAAAATGGCAGCGTAATAATTATGTAATGTTGATGATGATAAAATAGTGGTGAATCTGAAAAAAACAATATACAAATTTCAGCCAAAAATCTCTCTCAAACCTATCATAAAACAGTCATATTCATAACCATTTCATCATTTCACCATTTCAACTTTCTGTGAGGGACCTTTTAGAGACAAAAAACTCTCAGAAATCTGGTTCATATGACCACCATGAAGAATTTTGACTCTGTAGTTAGTATATAGAATAGCAGATTTCCCATCAAACCACTGTAAACGACATGTTTTAACCATTTAGTTATACAGAAATCTTAAAAAAAATGATGGAAAAAAGTACTATTTTAATTAAGATACTCATCAGTGATGCAGACAGTGGCTCACTACCACTTTTCATTTTCACTATAAGGTTGTACAGGGGTTTGCTCTCATAGATTAATAAAATGTAATTAAAACATACTGTTTGTAATTCACCTTTTTATTTAACAATTTAATCTGATGTTTTTGTACATTCAACCTTTTACAGCTTATGGACAACAAAAAAAGCACCAGCAAAACAGGACTCCATATTCTGCCCTTAGATAGTATCCATGAGAAGATGGTGAAGAAATTAAACATGAACTAGCACAGAACATACAGCATACAAAGAACCAATTTGCATTTTTGTCACATCAAGCAAATTTTGTCACATATAACATTATCCAGTGAGTACATTTGAGATACATTTCAAATAATTTTATGCTGTTTATGGCTTTTAAAGTCCCAGTCAGAAGTGCTGAAGGGCTATGGGTCCAGCACAGCGGCATCAAACACTGTTGCTGACACTAACGCTGAATTCAACTCATGGCTTTGCTAAGTATAAGATTAGTTCAGTCAGGTATATTTAAAGAGGCAGAAGACCCAACCCTGCTCTTTTGGCCAGTCCCAAAGTTCCCAGTTTAGTGTTTCTGTGTGCTTTCTTGTAGGTGTCCAAGTGTGTCCCATTTCTCAAAAGCACAGCGCAAAAGAACACACTAAATACACACTTCTTCAAATACCATATCAAAATGGTTGGGGATAAGTTTATATTCCTAAGTTCAACAGTGATGTTCTAATACATCAATGTTTGAGAAACATTGTGGAAAAACGCTAAAATCAGGAGAACATCTGCAACTGTATGTCCCACAAAGGAACTTGCACAAGTTTTTAAAGAATTCAGATACATTACTGTAATGTTTTCCCTGCTCTAATACACCTGACCCAACTAATCAACTCATTAACAAGCTCTTTCTGAGCTGAAGTGGGTGTGTTAAGGCCATGAACACTGGACATGCCAAGCTATGTAGCATCGCATACCAGATACAGCACAAAGCGCAACTGCACTAGATAAAATGTGCCGCAGTGAAAGCGTCAATAACCGTCAAGCTCATTTTTACACTCATAAATGTTATGAAATACAACTTTGAACATTATTTATGACTATATCTCATTTGGAATCAGCTAACTAACCTTTCAGAAACTCACTGTTTCATATGGAAAAAATACAAAGTGAAAAAAAGGCTAGTAACCTTAGCTGAAGTAAAGCACAATTAGCATTTGTCCGCTTATTTTAAAGACTTTAGAATGACCGCCTTTCTCAACTGTACATTTTAAGCCAGTGTCATCTACTATAGCTTTTGTGGTCTGGTTCTGGGTTTGATTTAATGCAGTGATGGCAAAACGCTGTGAGCAAATGAACAGTACTCTGAGTCACTGAGTGCCTTCTCATATCAGTGCCAGTTTGTTAATGTATATTAAAAAAATAACAGTTGTGAATTTTTAAGTGCAACACAACATGGCGCATCCAGTGAGCACTGGCCTTAGAGCAGGGAAAGCACAAAAATGTGAAGGACAGGGATACTTTACAACCAGGAATGATAGACTCAGTCATGTTAGACTTGGTTCCTTCCAGTCCACAGCTCTGCAGAGATAAGCATTTCCCCTCTTCTAATGAATTCAACTCATGAAGGCCTCGCTAACTAGCTACGGAGTTGAATCAGGTGTCTTTAATAAGACAGAATGCTGAAGTCTCAGAGCTGTGGCCTGTAAGGAACGGAGTCTGACACATGGTCTATCCTGACAACCCACTTCTTAGAGGGGCTTCTGTTGTTGCAGTACCAAAACACTTAGCAACTTCTGACTGGACCTTTAATCTGAATTACCCAGCATATCATCTGCAGATTGGTAAAAACCGAGTGTTAGTAACGTGGCACAAGAGCACAACAAAACCAGATAATGACTACTGTAAGTGTGTGGCATCAAAATAAAGTTTAAAAAAAAAGAAAGAACATCCGAAAAAGCAGGTGCAGTCAGTGATGAAGGAGTAAATAGTCAAGGCTCATTTTCAGAACCTTTGCCAGAGATTGAAAAACCCAGAGGTAAAATAAAAGAGAAGTTACAGACATTCTATCTGTCCTTCTTCCCCACCCATCTCTCTCTTCTTACTGTTTGCCATCCAATCATTTCCATCATTTCCCCACAGCCAGTGATTACTGATCTGAGAATGGCAATGTAGCAGAAAGGCCACTGTTCTCAGTGCAACAGCAATTTCAGAAACAAAAATAAGCTCGGAACACAGAGGCTAAAATTTACATTCTCCCTTTCATTATCTTCATAAGGAAGCCAGCTCTTGTGTCAGTCTCTCCTTCTCTTTCTGTAGCTCGACGATGCTCTGTTTGTTCTGCTCAAGTCGATCCTCCAGCCACTGTAACAGTGGGCCGCTTACTGCCGACATCTGGCTGCACAGGTTTTTAGTGAACACTGAGAAATACAGAGTGGGAGAGAAACCTTATTATCTGGCACTCATAAACTGTCCATTTCTCTACACATTTTACTGCTTTTCCCGCCATTTTAACTCAATAACGGGCTGTTATCAAGGGGATTAGTTGGATCAGGTGTGTTGGTAGCAGGGAAAATGCTTAAATGTACAGGGCAATGGGCCACCAGGACCATGGTTGAGAAATACTGCTCTAAGGTAAGCACTTGATCTAGTTTAATATATCTGATAACACTCATTTTAATAGGATGTCTACCCAGGACGTGCAACTGAAATTGGCAGCTTTTGTGTTCTAAATGTGATCAGCCAATTTATTCTTGTTTTTGCTGATGTGTTCCAGTTTTAGTATTTGAATAAGGTGAATCAGGTACGATTCTGCTGCAACACTTATATCTAAGTGTTGTAGCGTAAATAAACATGACTCATTGTGCTAAATAGCCAGATGCCTCTTACTTTTGATGGAGCACTTTATTTGATTCATGTTATTTAAACCAGATCGGCTCATTAAAGAGCAGGGTTACTACGTTTAATTAAAACAATAACTAATATTGAAAAAATGTGCTCCGTAACTGCAATAAAATAAATATAAAAATACAAATATACAAATATAATAAATCAAAACCATAACGTCCACTGCAAAACTAACTAAAACGAAACAGAAATACTGAGGAAAAAATCCTTACTTTCAATTTTTTCAGTGAATGAGCATGGAAGTGGATCCCTTCTGCGTTTGGCTGAAAAGCTGGGTTCATTTTATTTGACCCTTCGCAAATACCTGCTATCACAGAAGCTCATCACAATACTAAAAACTAAACGAGAATATAAATCAAAACTAAACTATTACCTTTTTTAGACAATAAAAACAAAACTAAAAGAATTAATGCACAAATCAAAAACCAAAATGAAAAACTAAATAAAAATTAAAACTAATAAAAATGTATAAACTGTAATAATAATTTGACGAATAGAATGACAACACTTCTTCAGAGGTCTACACACCACCATCCTGTACAGAGAACAAATGTTCTGCAAATTTCAGCGCACACTTTCTGTTTATTTGCTGAGTTTAACATATTGGAAAAAATAAAATATAAAATGTGCCACAACTTTTGCACCGGCCACATTTTATGTTTTATTTTTCCAGTAAGTTAAATTCACAAATAAACAGCAACTGTGCAGAACCGTGTTCTCTGTAGAGAATGTGTTAACTTATTTACGTTTTTGATTTTCTAAGTAAAAATAATACATAATAACAGTTAATAATAACTAATTTGACTGGGGCCCCCAAACCTTTGCACACAAATGTAACTCAAAAAGGAGAAACTACAAACTTTAAACAGCTCCTTGTAAGTTGTCATTTATAAAGATAATTATAAATTGCACACATGACTCCAAAGTAAAGCAGCATACCTGATCCATTGTGTATCTTTGTTATTGGATCCAAATGAGTTAAACTGAAAAGGGAAAAGAAGAGAGAGAAACTTCAAAACACAGCATTTTCAATATCAAATATCAACTTTTTACACACATTTGTTTTGGTCGTTTTGGATAACACTGAGGTCACTATAACATTCAATTTTATAATCCTCAAAAAACTTCCCTCTGCTTTATTTCCCTAACGTAACTATACTTGCAGTAATGCAAGGATCACTGACAGCTCACAAGACATAGGAGGGAAAAATATAATTCCCACAAACTGATATTTACCAGAGGTTTAAATTGCCGGTGTCAAATTAACCCTAAGGATAAAAGATGCTAGTAAAGAAAACAGAAAACAGAAAAACTTAGCTCCACTTGATTTCAAGTTCATTTTAATTGGATTTAAATAAAGAGCAGTATTTCACCTGTGAATCCTTCTGTACGTATCCTGTTCCTCCTGACAGAGAATTCTCGGGAGTTCTACAGCAGACTCCAGGCACACTTTGCCAATGGCCTCATGTGGAACCACATGGATTGGAATCTCAATTCTCTCATACCTTGATGTAACAGGAGACAGCACAATTTAGTCTAAATAATAATGACATTCATCAGTTTTTGGCTTATTTTTTAGTATACTGAGTAATAACTTATTTATTATTCAAATACATGGTAGGTTAATATGTGGGAATAATACTACTAAAAGCTATGTTTTGTTGCTGTCAAAAGTTTATTTTTCCCCCAAAAAAAACAAAAAAAAAAAAAATGGAAAACAAACACTCTAGTCTGACAGTGATAATATGTGAAAACATATGATAAAAAACAGTAAAAGGGTGATGATTTAGGATATTTTACAGTACCTGTAAAAGTACAATATATGTGTCATTACTTACTCTGAGCCTTTCTGGGCTTGCACTGACTGAAAACAGGTGTACAGAACTCTGCCTGTCTATAAGAACACAAAGTTCATCAATAAAATCAGTCAAAATACAACCATTTACTTCAGCTCTAGAAACATAAAGCCATTGGGAAACTTATTAATACCATATTGCTGTACAATCTACCAGATTTAATTTATTTTCAAAAAGACCTTAAATAGGCTTAATTGTATACTCCTAAGGTTACCTTGGTGTTTTTATCTTCAATGAAGCAAGAAAAGATGAGACCAACAAAACCCTGATCCATCATCTGGTACATTGCTTGAGTCCTCACATCTGTACAGAATGACAAACACGACAAGACCTCATGTAAGTTCTACAGATCACTTGAAGATAAAAGTAATAAAGCAAAATAATTAAAGGCTTGAATGGGATTGTCATGTTTTGTCCTGAGGGGGCCAAAGTTCAAACATCTGTGGTGGTCTGATGGCCAAAAAGACCAAAAAAAATTTTTTTTTCTATAAAGTTTTTAAAAGAAATTTGTTACTAAGATACATCAAATATATATTTTTTAAAAGAAAATCAGAATTTGGTAAATTGTATGTAGTACAAAAATATTTTTCTTCTCTCACTGAATGAGAGGGCTGGGTTAGGGTAACTAGACAGGCTAAATCAAATGTCCCAAGAAGCCAGCTTTGGGCAGCCCTGCTCTACTGCTCAGTTCTAATGAAAAAGACTAAAATCTTTGGAAGACCTTCCTAGAAAGTGATCACTGAAAGTGAGCAATGAACTTCATCAGACTAACCAACATGCGATGGCCACACAGTGATGTGTGGATGGGAGTGGTACCATCCTACCACCCTCACGGGTCGTCCAGTCATCTCAGCCAACCTGTGCTTCATGTTAAGAAAGAAAACACTGAGAAGATTCAGCTTGAATATGGCAAATTAACCAATCAACTGGAGGTCAATGCGAGTTACAATAATGCAATATATGTCCAAAAGTATCCAGACACCACGTCAGTGCCCAAGGTCACCATGCCCAATGCCAAACGTCATATAGAGGGGCATAAAGCCTCCCAGCACTGGGCTGTGGAGCAGTGGAACTGCGTTCTCTGGAGTGATGGAGCTCCATCCAGTACCTTTCGGATGAGCTGGAATGTAGTATGTGATCCAGAACTAATCACCCAACATCAGTACCTGACCACACTATTGATCTTATGGCTGAATGTGATCAAATCCTCACAGGCTTCCTAGAAGAGTAGAGGATGTTACTGCAGCAGATGGAGGACAACCTACTTACTAACACCTTTGATTTCAGAAGAAACTTTGGATGACCATGGCTTACTAGACCTCTACAAAGTGTCCATTTTATCAGCTCCCCTTCCTTATAGGTGCACTTTGTAGTTCTATAATTACAGAATGAAGCTCATCTGTTTCTCTGTATACTCTGTTAGCTCCCTTTCACCCTATTCTTCAGTGGTCAGGACCCCACAGGACCACCACAGAGCAGGTATTATTTGGGTGGTGGATCATTCTCAGCTCTCTTGTGTGTTGCACTGGTATAAGTGGATCAGACACAGCAGTGCTGCTTGAGTTTTTAAACACGGTTTGTGCTGGTCATCCTCTAGTCCTTCATCAGTGGTCACACTGTTTTTGGTTGATGGACTATTCTCAGTCCACCAGTGAAACTGAGGTGTTTAAAAACTCTAGCAGCACTGCTGTGTCTGATCCACTTGTACCAGCACAACATACACTAACACACCACCACCACATCAGTGTTACTGCAGAGCTGAGAATGATCCACCACCCATATAAACCAGCTGTGTGGTGGTCCTGACAACTGAAGAACAGGGTGAAAGGGGGCTAACAAAGTATTCAGAGAAACAGTAAGTGGAGCTGATAAAATGGACAATGAGTGAAGATATAAGCAGGTGGTTTTGCTGTTACGGCTGATCGGTGTGTGCTGTGATATTAGTGAGATATAAGGATATCTCGGCTTCAGTCGAGGCTGCTGAGAGCTGCTCTGGAGAAATCTCCACACGGTCCTTCCTCTTGTCTGATCGTCGGAGGATGATGACGGAGTGAATGTGGACAATGCGGTTGGTGTCGACCTGTGGACAGTTATAATCTGTTTCAGTAGCCAAAGGAAATCCGAAGAGCTCAGCGTTACAGTGTTCGTCTCCGCTAAAGCTCAGCCACAAAAACAAAAGTGGTTAGAGATGCCTAACGTACCTCTCCAATGCACAGTCCCATAACCTCTTCTTTCTCTGTGCTCAAAGCATGATTCATACAGACAAGAAACGCGTCTGACTCTAAATGTACCGCACTTACTGCCATGATATGAGAATTAGTTCACTAAACCAGCCGTAGCTCTGATTTTCAATCTGACTGTGCTGAATGTTTATCAGTGCGCCGCAGTTCCGTATCAGCAGTGTATACGTGTGTTACATCAAAACGTTCCGGTGGGCACCGCTGAAAGGGGTGCGAACGTTTTAAAGGGCCCATATCATGATAAACCGAACTGACATTTTTTTTTTTACATAAAAGAGTTTTATGTGGTATATAAACATTTTTAAAAAATCAGAATCGCTCTAGTCCATAACGTAACAGCTCCAAATAACAGAAGAGCATTTGAGACCACTGATTATTAAGGAAGAGTGAGGTGAAATAAATGCATCCCTGAGCTGTTTTTTGAAGTTATATAGGTACATGACTTGCACCAGTGGTATAACTAGGATCTTATGGGCCCCAGTGCAAAAAAAACAAATAAATAATACCACCTCATATGAAAATTAGATGATCGAATCTAGCTCCCTACTTCCTATATAGTGCACTTAATGTTAAATAGTGCAGCTATCTGGGAGTCATGCACCCTAAATAGCTTTAAATAAGACATGTAAATGCACTATTAGGTCTTTATTTCATGATCTACATAGTGCTCTTCATAGGGAGTTGGGAGCATTTTGAGATTCGCCCATACATGGAAACCAAGTGGCAAACACATACTCTTTTGAATTCACTGTTTTTGTGATGTCACAAAAACAACATGTTTGCACAACTACATATATGCACCTATTCAGTCTGCAGTAGTTTAGCCACGCCCACTCACACTGAAGTTCTCAGGAGTGTTTCAGTCTGAACTGCTTTTTGAATGAGGCAGCCAGTCAGAACAGAGATCATTTACATATTTCAGTCTTAAAGGCACCATAAGAAAGAGAGTCTGTTTAACTGTAAGAGAAAAAGAGCGGTCAGAAAACTGTCATTTAATTAAGAAACTGAAACTGTTTTGGTACCCACACACAAATGTCAAAAATGATTGTGAGAGGAAGAAAATAATAAAATGCAAGAAAATGTTGGATATGTGCCCTTAAAAGAAGTATGTTCGTAAACTTTTTTAAATTAAATTTTTACAGCCCATACCTAGGATGGAAATATTAATTACAGTACTGTTATATGCATAGACCAATCCATACATAAATAGTCTTTAGGTAAAGCATCGAAAAAGAACCACTCCAAAGGAAGAGAAAGTATGAATGACAATTGTAAACAGAAGCGATAAATAACAACATGCACTGAAATAAATAAAACAATATAACAATATAAGTAGTGCATACTGCATATAATGTAACGTCGTAAAATAAAACATTCGATTTAATTTTACACAAAAAATGTCAAATTAAAGGACAGGTTCCAGGTTTTCGCAGCTTTGTTATTCAGAACCATTTCATGTAAAACTTTCTGTGAGGGAACTTTTAGAGGCGTTAAAGTCCTCAGACTGGTGGTTCTTATCACCACCACTGTGAAGAATTTTGACTCCGAAAGTTTCTCTAGAACCAAATATTTCACACCAAACCACTCTGAGCGATTTTGTTGACATGTTAAGCATTTAATTATGCAGAAATTTGGACAAATAGTGGAGTTTCATTGAATAATACACTTACAACAGAACGTTCATTAAAAGGAAATTCAGTTTTTGGTCGGAAGAAAATAAGACGTGCACTGGGCCTCGGTGACGTCAGTTTGTTTACGCCTGCTCCTACATGCTGCTGCGCTGATGATGACAGTTAAACTAGGATTAAAGTCTGTCTGAGCGCCGAATTAAACCTGTTAATTGATAGTTACCGTTTTAGAAAGAAAGGTTGGCCTCTCTGGTTTGAGTACACGGGGCGGCTGTGCTGTTTTGCCCGTACAGATGTCACAGAAGGATCCCTGTCAGAAACAGGCGTGTGCGATTCAGAAGTGTTTACAAGGTAACTTGGTGCTGTTTTCACAGCCGCATAAATCCGATTCAGCCTGACTGACAGCGGTGACTTTATCAGTGTCTGTCTTGTATTTTTAACAGCCAACAAATACATTGAAAGTCGCTGTGAGGACGTGATCCGGGCCATGCGAAAATGCTGCGAAACCCACAGCGGAGTGAACTCTGTTTGCTGCTCCGGCTTCGCCAGAGAGCACAAAACGACCCAGGAGAAAACATGAGCGCAGTTAACACGGCCTCCTCTGACATGCTGCATTGTGCCCATCTGCTTAACTCCTCAAAAGTATATAAAGATATCTGATCACTGATCAAAAAAATGTTATGCTGCCTGGATTAAAGGAAGATCACGTGAAAATAAGTGTACCCCTCGCATCTTTTTTGTAGTTAAATAGGTATATGATTTACACCAGTGTAACTAGGATCTTCTGAGCCCCAGCATAAAAAAAATAATGCCACCTCGTATAAAATTACTTATATGAATAAAAATGACAATGCAGTTTGCTTTGTTCACTCATGTCTCAAGCAGGTTGAGGCTCTCAAGGCATACCACTCCACCCACTCGTAAACAATGGTTCTTCAAGGATTGTTTTGTAAAGGCAGTGGTTCTATATAGCACACTTAATGAACACTTAAAGAACCATTTGAATGCATGTTCTTTGTGTGGTCAAATGGTTTTTCTCTTTGATGGAAAACCAGGTGTATTTGATTCCTTAAAGCAGTGATTCTCTAACCAGTCCTCAGGGATAGACTAATGGTCACCAGTCCTCCTCCTAGAGATCTACCTTCTACTTCCAGCCTGCATTTTTCATGCCCCTCCTCATACCTCCCCAATACCATTGCTGGAGCAGATGAGGTAGACTGTGGTTGGAACTAGATTCTGCAGGAAGGTAGATCTCCAAGACCAGGGCTGGTGACCCCTGCCCTAGATAGTCCAGTCAAGTTTATTTCCAGAGTACATTTAAAAACAGCCAAAGCTGACCAAAGTGCTGTACAGCTAATCAAAGTCCACAGTCCTTGTTTTTGTTCTGTGTGTTGCAGGTTACCTTGGAGCAAAAATCCAAACCGTACACACTTTAAAAAAGATGGTTCATCAAGGGTTCTTTAGTACAGAAAATGATTCTATATAGAACCATGAACACTCAAAGAACCCTTTGCATGATTAAAGGGTTCTTTGCATCACAAAGTGGTTCTTCGGATTGATGGAGGATGAGCTGTAACTGGTTATATAGCACCAAAAAGGGTTCTTCTATTTTTACAATGTCTAGCTTGTCATAATAGAAGAACCCTGTTTGGTGCTATATAGAATGATTTTCAAAAAGGTTCTATATAGGACCATATACTACACATTCTCCATCAATCGGAAGAACCATTTCATGCTGCAAAGAGTTAATAGTTCTATATAGAACCTTATTCTTTACTAAAGAACCTTTGAAGAGATCTTTTTTAAGAGTGTATGGGGGTCCCTAAGGACCAGCTTGAGAACAACTACCTGAAAGAACCCTTTCGAAAATGGTTCTATACAGCACCAAAAGGCTTCCACTATTGTTATGAGGCAAAAAGCCCTTTTTAACATCCAATGTTGAGGACTGGTTCTCAACTGAGTCTTCAGGGCCCCTTAAACGGTCCTCATTTTGGCTCCAACTGAAAATTCCACAGAAATATAGGCAAAATGTGGACCATCTGGGGGGCCCTGAAGACTGGTTTGAATAATCAGTTGTCACTGGCCAAATAAGGGTATATAGATTGCCAAGAACCCTTCATATTTTGAGTAAAAAATACATATATTTATATTATTTGATTGGAATAATTTTGAAATTATAACATGAGTTGCATCATGAATAAGAAGTAGATATATAGACGTCAGGGCTGTTTGCATATTGTTGATGAAAGCTAACTGGTGAGGTATGTTGTTAGGCCAGTAGATCTTAGTGTGAGTCATGGGTGTACAATTGTGTCAGCATCTACAAGAGGGACCCAATACAGAGCATGCTACTGATTTGCACCCCAACCACCATTTCATTGACATCACCCCCAGGTCTATAATGCTGTTTAATGATTGGTTCTCATGAATGCAAAATCCAGCAGCACACCCAGTCACCTTGTTTCATTCATCTTTCAGCATTACCCCATGATGTCTCACTGTAACTGCTAAAAATGTTGAATTTTATGAGAGAAGAAAGGAACATGAGAGTTCACAAACATAGATATCAGGTCATGAATATGTACATGACAGCACCCCCTAAACCAAACTTACATTATTATTACATACGCTAAAGGATGTCATGCATATGAACCAATAGCACAATGTAAACCAAAGTTCTCCACTGAAAACGCCTTTTAAACAAAAGCTTAAAACCAGAAAAACCAATCCAGCCAGTCTAAACCAAATACAACCCTAGCAAGACAGTTGACAACACAATAGCTGATATACTTCAAAGTTTTACTTTTATTTTAAGAAAATACAACTTTTGGTTGAATCCTATTTGGTGGCCCAAGCTAACGAGTTCCATAATTTGCTGCACTTTGGCATGAGGGGAAATTTTTTTGACTGTTTGTTAAAGCCGTAAAACATTTTGCCAGTTTTCACTTATTGAGAGTTTAAAGGGTGCCGTACATATACTGTACAGATCTGTAGACATACATACTTAAAGTATGTATCAGTTATTCATACCACAAATATATTCCAAAATGATTCAAATAAAAATGTAACAAAATTAAAGGGAAACTAAAATGTGAATACAATGTACATGCCAAAAAATAAAAGCCACAAAATAAGCTTGGTACAAATATTTTCGCATTGTTGGCTGTGCTTGTTAAGAAAGACATAGTTAAAGAGCTACAGTATATAAATATTTAGTGTAACGAGTATTCAGATCAAGCTGCAGTACAAGTCATTTAAATGCCAAAACCTGTTACATGCAGTAAGCTGACATTTTTTATGCTATTGAGAATACACAGAAAATGAAGGAGAGGCTTCTTATGATGCCAGACCCAGCAGGAATCCTCCAGCAAAGCCCCCTGTGAGGACAATGTTCTTCTTCACAAACGTCTGCACCTTTACAGATCAAAATAGCATAAAGTAGCAGTTAAAATCAGCTAAAGGCATTATGGAATTATAAGGTACCAAATTCATGACAACAACAGCTGAAACACAAAACAGTATGGTGCAGTACAGTATAGAAAATAGAATATTTAGACAAGAGTGAACTTCGAAAGCTGTTTACTCAGAGCTTTTATTTACTCAGAGCTTTTTCTGCATCTGTGCTTTAGCACTTGAGAATATAGACCAGAGGTGGTGCACTTAAGTCCTGGAGGACCACAGTCCAGCACTGTTTGGTCATTTTCCTACTCAAACACACCTGATTCACCTCAGCAGTAAATTACCAGATCTGGTTGGTGTGTCAAGAGCAGGAAAATCAACCGTGCTGGACAGCTGTTTGCCACCCCTGAAATACTACTTTCATAAGACAAAGCAGTGCTATGCTCCAAAACAAGAATTCTACTATTTTTTATCCGACATTTTTGAACAATTAAATTGTCAACAAAGTAATTCAGAGTGATTTAACATAAAACGTGCCATCGCATAGTAACTTACCAAGTCAAAATCCTTCAGGATCTATTTATAGTGGTGCTCCAAAGACATTTATCATGTCTCTAAAAGCTACCTCACAAAGTTTTTTTACACAAATTGGTTAAGAATAAGTTGCCTAATACCCTGACACTGTTCTACGATAGTTTTGAGATAAAAGTTTTGGTTTAAAACATATTTTTTTATCCATTCACTTCAGAGAGGTATATGTAGGGTGCTGTAAGGCAATACAGTCCACAAAGAAAACATTTACCACTATTTTACCACTATCAACATCACATATAAAAACTCAGAAGATACATGTAATATCACTGGTTGTTCTGGACAGTAAATAAAATGGCTATATTTACACTGTAGACATTGTGACTCTCGATTTCTATCAAACCATTAAAGAAATCCGATGCAGTAAGTTTCTCTACAATTAACCACTTCACATCAAACCGCTCTGAATTACTTTCCTTACATCTCAATGACTGAACAATTCAGAAATTCTGAAAACATGAACGCTCCTCATACCTCGTCCACTTTTGTCCTCACTTCTTTAGGTGGCCTCTCAGTATTTAGCTTTAGCTGCTTCTTGGCCTTGTTCACATCCCGTTCAACCCTCTTCCAGTCAATTTTAATGTAGCCTGTGTGATTAGCGATCTAAAATGGCAAAGTAAGAGTGGCTTATTAGACGTCAGCAGATTTGTATCATTTTGTAGGTTCAAACAAGAGAGCTTATATTACTGTACCTGAAGCAGAAAGAAGCCGCCACCTACTGCCGATGCAGCCAGTTTCCCGACTTTTTGAAACAAATACCCCGCACACCTGAGAGATGAACACATGGCATGTTAAAAGGCTTTAATGCTGTCGCTGTAAAGTCTAACTACAATGCTTTTCATTCTGTTAGACACATCTTCCTCTAACTCAGTTTTTTTCCTCACCAGCCAGTCACTCCACCGACAGCGAGCTGCGTTGCTACCGAATACTTCTCGGCAGCTGGCCCAGAATTGTTGCCAAACACTTTATTCCACCATCTCTGTTTCTTGACTTGTTCTGCCAAGTCCATCACAAAGGCTTCCCCCTCTGTTAAGACAGAAGGAATAATCAAATTAATGTAGCACATGGCTAATTTTTAGCCTTAATGTTTGCAGGCCTCATGTTTAGCTACGCTTACTGATTAACTTATTTAAACTAGCTTATATGCACTGCAAGTTCTCCCAGCCACAAGTTCAAGGCAGAACTGTTTCCCTAGACAACACAGACAAACTTCATTCACTCAAAGCTCAGAACAACACAGAGTCAATGTTATGTAAGCAAAGGCCTCTATCCCATTATGTTAAGACTGAAAACACTGCTGAGACAATGAAAGACTGCATCTGAATGGCTCTCTTCTGAAAGACTACTAATAATAACAACTTCTCCACCATCACAGAGGCGTAGCCAACGCTACCCTGGAATGAAGCACGGCCACCCTTCTGGTCACCCCAGTTATGGAAAGTGAAACCAATTAGTTATAAGAGTCGATGGTGCTGCATTTAATAATTAATAATCATAATAATAATAATAATAAATAAATGTGTATCTTGCTGTAATCAGCTAGTTTACTCCGCAAACGGGTAAGTAAAAGTGCACTGGATCCTTTCAGCAGTGCTGCTCTGTGAGCTACACAATGAAGTAGGCCGTCAAAAAGTAGCCAACTATAATCATTTATCAGGCTAACTAACTAACTTTTTACAGTTGAATACATACATGTGCTGTAGGTTAAGCTTATACAGTGCTGTCTGGCCAGCTTTCTATTCATTAGACTTATGTATAACCTGTATTGAGGGCAGCCTAAATGAATAACTTCTATAGTCTGTCTATTTGAAATGTATGTTATTTGTATTCATTTTCTTCCTTAACAGTGTGCCACCCCAGTAACATCTCTGGGTCTTACCTGGCCACTCCATTATAAAAGCTTCCCTGCACCATCACATACAGAAAGTAAAACCATGTCTTTAGAAGTAATGGCCAAATTGAGCTCATCTCTTGGAAGTGACCTTGGCTGCAGCAGTAGCCCTTGGACAAAGGCCACCACCTCCACACAACCGAAATAGCACTGGCCCAGCAGCCAAAAGAATGTCGGGGTCAGTTTCCATTAGACGGATTTGTAATTAAAACCGTCACAAGAGCTCAATTCAGTGTGGGCAGCCATAACCACGTTGATCACTGGCCCAAACCAAAGAACTGAAGGGCGTGCCTGCTGTCCTGCTAAGTGGGTGTACATTTAATTCCCCCTCAGCAGCCACATTTCACGGACGATCAGCCCTGCATGACGAGCCGCGCTCTGCTCAAGCCTTTGACAGCGTCTATTCTCCTTGACATGCAAATGTAAAAAATGGCCTATCTGTGCTTTAGCCTAATCTACTCAAACGAGGCTGAAGTTGGCTTCCTAGTCGCCACCTTCTTGCTCAAATTTTCAGTTCCACCTTAAATGGTGCCTGACGCCTGCGCGTTACCTCGGGGCGCCACCATGTAACTGCGGTGCCATTTAAGGTGGAACGGAAAATTCGAATAAGAAGCCAACTTCAGCTTCGTGCTGCTTCGGAAATGTACTGTCTGAGGTAATGCAAATGAGGTTCAGAGGGACATCTGCTTCAACGAAACACGCTTATGTGCAAGTTAAGCACAAATAGGGGAAAAACAATGAAGCAGATTTTGCAGAAAGCCGGTTGGCCTCGAAGTCTAACGAACAAATTATGAATCAGCAACGTTGTTTTGTTTACTAGCTGTGGGCCGCAAATGCGAGTCATTTGGCATTTAAAGCTACTGTCGACGAGAGAGAGATGTCATTTCTTTCTTCAGTCTTTGCTCATCATCCAGATTATCTCTCTGTGCAATCAGAAGTGGTGATCAGCTTCACCAACCTGGCTAAATTGGCGAGATTACCTCAGCTAGCAGCCTTGACGGGTGGTTTTGAGGCAATATGTTTACCCTCAGATCAGTTAGATAAAAATATAGTGTCACTTTCTTTCTTGTGTTGTGTAATGACCCCATTTGCAGTTGAACTGTCTTGAGTTAGCCTTCTTGCTATTATCGCTAACGATCCTGTCCGTCTAGTCTGAAGGACAACGATGAGCGTCTGGATTAAAACACGGGTAACGCGTCATCTAATTAAGGAGTGATGTTCGCTTTAAATATAAGCAAAGATTAAAATGCAGGTCTGCTGTCATAGTTACAGTTTGTTATGAAGGTGGTAGCCCAGCCTGTAAAGTCTTACCGTCTATCTTCTCGGCCATTGTTGTGTGTGTTTCCTAGCCGGACTGTATTTCAGAGCGCAGCCTCTGAACCACATGACACACGCGCAGGGGTTTTTTCCCTTACCAGCCAATTTACGTCAGTGGGCTTATCATAGTTTACGTCATTCAAAATAAAAGTCTCCCTAGTAGAGAAAGGGGATTTTTGTGATCTCAAGATTTTAGTAAAGTGGTTTTAGGATTGTATAGGTGGTTTTGTCTGATTTAGTCGAGTCTGTGTAAAATTCACTAGTACGTTTTTATCACATTTGTTTTTGCAATGTTGAATGTATCTTCTTTTTTCCTCTGTCAATGTTTCACAAAGAAATTCCGTTTGATATGAAAATGTCGAGCTTTAATGTATCCAGTTATTGAATAAATGGCTGTTCACAATATATTTTAAAAAATGTTGCAGTGTTGCAATTTTTTGTTGAGAACCACAATGAAAATAGGCAAATTTTGATTTGAAGACACAGCATGCAGAAACTGCCATGTCCTCTCTTAAATTGTAAAGAGAATATATTTATTTAAGCGTCATTTGTCGATTCTTGTCCACTTGCGTCTAACTGTAGGCTGGCTCTACCACATTCAGCACAACAATGTCATGTCATATATCAGTGAAAAAATTATTTGTAGAATTTAAATGGAATCTACAAATATTTCTGAGACCTTAATTGGGTTAGCAGTTCTGAAGATTCGTAAACTCTCTCTCTCTCTCTCTCTCTCTCTCTCTCTCTCTCTCTGAAAATCAGCTTTTCTTTATATTTAGAAACAAAAGTCTCATCAAGAATGTAAAATTCTTTCTCTGTTGTATGTATTTACAGTGAAATACATATTTTCATTTTTACATCATCCAAAGGCTATATATTTTTATAAATATGCAAATGTGTGCATATTTGATTTAACAGTGTCTCATTTGAATATCTAAATGTAGTTTTTGGGAAAAAAATATCAAAAAATACTATCATGGTTTTGTTTTAAATGGCCCATATCATGGAAAACTGAATTTTCCTTCCTTTTATGAAACAGTTTGATATATAATGTAAACACTGTTAAAGTTCCAAATTTGACCATTCACTCCCCAGTTTATTCAGTCTATATAAGCAAATAAAACTGCTAAAACATCCTGTTTCAAATTCATTGTTTTTGTGATGCCATGAAATACAACACATTTAAATACACATCTGCTTATTCAGCCTACAGCAGTTTAGCCCCACCCACTCACACTGAAGTTATAAGTAGTGTGTCAGCCTGAACTGCTTTTTGAATGATGCAAATGCAGAGCAGCCAATTAGAATACATCTCATTACCATACATCAGTCTTAAAGACACAGCCTGTTTAATTCTTAGGAGAAAGAGATGTTGGAAAATAGTCATGTAATTTTTTTAACCAGATGCTGCTCTTTTATAGCTCATGGTGATTCTCCTAAAATTCCTTATGAGAAATGGTCTTAGACCAAAAAAAAAAAACAAAACCATAAGATCCAGGAGAGATGAAGGAGCGGTGAGAGTTAAGCTGCAGATAATCTTGAGCGTTGTTATCTCAGAAAATCTTAGCATAATGTGTGACTTTATATTTATTACTTATTAAGATCTCTACTACAAATCAAGAGGAGATACATGAGATTATTGGGCTCCTTTTCTCAGAAGAAATATCTGGAGACTGAAACAACAGTCTTAAGAAAAAAAAAAAGTAGCATTTCTGAAAGAACATGCTTAAATATGTACCATAAATATAACAGTCAAGGTATAATTTTTTTTGCACTGTAAACAGTTGCATCACTTGGGGGGACAAGAGCCTTAACTAATTAAAAATGTGCATCCAGGGGATCCTGTCTTTTGCTCAGAGCCCCAGAATCACGAAATCCGTCCCTGGAAAACATCAGATTCATCCGCTCAGGGACGGCGTCCGAAACACAACCAACTTTACAAAAGTATTTTTCCGTGCGTTCCATGCGGTTACACATTTCCACCAGAGAGGTCTCCAAATCCCCAAAACACATACAGTGCAACTTTAATCAGCAGCTAAATTTAAGCAGTCGACTTTCCTCAAAGCAGAATTTCCCTATCCTGTTCCTGGAGACCTGCTGCTCTGTACATTTTAGTGCTTTCCCTGCTCTCAACACACCTGATCAACTAATCAGCTTATTAAATGAGCTGAAATGGGTGTGTTCACTAAAACAGTGATCACTAACCCTCTTCCTGGAGATCTACATTCCTGCAGAGCACAGTTCCAACCACAATCTGCAACCCCTGCTCCAGCTAATGAAAATCTTTAGATGTTCTTGATTGGCTGCATGCATTAGTCTTGGATAAGATGGGGCAGTATGTGAAATTCAGGCTGAAAGTAAACTGTCCAGGAAACTAAATCTCCAAAAGGGAGGTTGGTGTCCACTGCACTGAAATGTACAGCATATCAAAGCCTACGAGCACAAACATGATTCTTAAATGGTAGAGTGAGCACTACACTGTACACTTTCTCTACCAGTTAAAATGATCTTAGTTCTTAGATGCTTTTGGGAAACTGCACCCAGGGCAGTAGGTATTCAGGACTAGGATTGGGAAATATCACTCTAAAGCAGTAGTCTCCATCTCTGGACCTGGAGAGCTACCTTCCTGCAGACATTAGTTCTAACCTGTATCCAATATGTATGCCCCTTCCTTGCTGAACCCTTGTACATCTGATCCAGCCAATCAGGGACTTGGGAAGAGGTTGATTAGCTGGAGCAAGTGTGGCAAATTGTGGTTGGAACTAGGCTCTGCAGGAAGGTAGCTCTCCATAGATCTGCTCTTCATGTGCTCATCCCTGTGTAATATTGCCAGCTATAGCCTATATCAAGACTAGCATTATTACTTCAGAGCAGTGGTCTCCATCCCTGGTCCTAGAGAGCTACCTTCCTGCAGAGCCTAGTTCCAACCACAATTTGCCACACTTGCTCCAGCTAATCAACCTCTTTCCAAGCCCCTGATTGGCTGGATCAGATGTACAAGGGTTCAGCAAGGAAGGGGCATACATATTGGATACAGGTTAGAACTAATGTCTGCAGGAAGGTAGCTCTCGATCTATGAGTGATAAGAACAGGACATCTGCTGTTTCTAAGGCAGCGTTTATTAATCCTGCTGCTAATGACTCACAGCAGGGCATAGTTTCAATTATTCCCTACCTAGACAAACCTGATCCAGCTCTGTAACCAGTTGATGAGCTGATTAATGTGTTTTGAATCAAGCAATACTTGAAACTGTGGAGTGCTGTGAGTTGCTAAGAGCAGGATTAAAGAAATGCTGTTCTAGCTGTTAGATAATGACTACCTTTGACTAACCTAGATGTCTGCTAACAAAAAGGACAGATGTCTATTCATTCACACTTTAACCCCTTTAATTGGGGGTCTTTATCTTTTTACTAGCCTTCAACATGGTTGAATTACGAGACTGTATGACTGTAGGAAGGGGAAAGCTGGTGTTCTGGCCAGCTCCTGCTTGAGCTACAAGGCACGAGCTACCTTGACGAACAGAGGTAGGGCTAAGAGAGAGGACTGAGGAACTGGGAGGAGATAGGGTGGTGGGGTGCAAAAACTTTGTCACAAGAGAGATGCAAATTTATAGGACGGTAGATTAGAAGGAGAAGGAGCTTCAGGCATGATCCTCCTCTCAAACTTCAGTTACTCTAGAACTTTAACCTTAAATTCATGTGTAGCAATCTTCACTTTTGAAGAAAGTCCAAAATTAAAGCTCAAACTTTTAATATTTTTTTCTAAGTTACTCTGTTTTTCTAACTGTTCCTAAGAAAGCCTAGATGTCCACTAACACAAAGAACAAAATAAAATAAAAGCATGCAACAAAACAAATTAAAAGTGCACACACTAAAAAAAATCTATTTACTAAGTTTACTGTGCCTAAGAAACTTAGACAAAAGAGAAAAACAAAACAAAAGTATACCATTTAGAATGTATACCATTTACAATGTTTTATTGTGTTTCTAATTGTGCTTAACAAAAAAGAAGTCCACTAACAAAAAGAGCAAAATAAAAGCATATAACAAAACTAAATAAGAGTGTACCCTTTGTAATACCTCTTTGCTATGTTAAAGAAGAGTCTGAATGCATCAGTTAGGTTTTATTTAGGTTTATATTGAAAATTGCAAAATAAAATCCCAAACTTTTAATAGTTTTTATTGCATTGCTACTTTTTTCTAATTTTGCCTGACTAACCTCGACTTCCACTAACAAATGGAACAAATTAAACTAAAAGTATGCAACAAAGCAAAATAAAAGCATACACATTTTAACATCTCATTACTACGTGAAAGAAGAGTCTGAACACACCAGTTAGGTTTTATTAAACTTTATTTAAAAATAAGTTTTTTCAGAAAAAAGACAGAAAAGTCAAAATGATGAATGGGATGTCTTAACTGACCCAGTAATCAGATGTAGCTGTATTTTATAGCACACAGACCCTACACTGAGTACCAGGTAAGCAAAAGACACCAGAACTGCACGAGACAGCCATGTCGTGCACCACCAGCGTCCAGAAGATTCTTCTCTTTCTGCAGAGTTAAACCTTTAGCAAGAGCTCATCTCAGTTCAAATCACAATGGCATGTTCTTGTCAAATTTTTTCTTGTGTCTGATCCTTACTTTGCATCATATGTCTAATCCAAAATGTGCTCTAAAGCACAATCAATCCAAAGCATGTTAAGGCCAAAGTGAAGCTGAACAGCCCGCCTGCCATATGTTCCTCATGGTCGATGCCATTCTTGTGCACTCTTGATTAAAAGTGAAACTGCTTGTGAATGTGTTAGGGGGAATACCACAGCCTAATTATGCACGCGCTTTGAAAGGTTATTTCCCAAAAGCGTCCACACTAGCCGAAATACGAACTGACCTGTGTCCATGATTGTGTCTTAGGGGTGTCTTGCTCTTTGTTGCTCAGAACGAGAAATCGAGGCTGAGGAGAAAAGTATATTTCATGTTTCAACGGTTTCCAGGAAACATCTTCTTCAGTACCTTCGGTTTTCATAAGACATACATTTTCTTCTACATACATTATCCTCAAAGGAAGGCCTCTGTTAGAAATGGCTGTACTAC